TCTTTCTTTGAGATTCATGTCCTTGATACTTGGAGTAGATGTTGAAGCAATTCCAAACATCCCTATATTTTTATTGTATGATAATCTTGTTGGTCATTATGGTGGTAGACTGCGTTGATGCATTACAAGTATTAATTCTTTTATTTGCTCTTGCATTTAAGCTATTGCACTCTTCTTTTCAGCAAGCTCTGTCTTGCTAGCACATTAAAGAAAAAGATGCCTATTCTCACAAAATACAATATTCAAGCATCAAGAAAAAAAAAATCTAAAAATAATATCAGTTTAGAAGAAGGTAATCCACAACTTCTAATATGCTTATGACTTATCAAGAGAAAGAGATAATCTACTCTTAATCAAGAAAGAATAAAGTTTTTATATTATATGTATACTCTTCTTAATCTGTCAAGGATACAAATTAAAAGAAGATACATAAACTCATAGAATTTGCATTAAAAGAAAAATGACAAAATAGCTAAAAGTATGTATATTCAAAGAAGAATTGGAATAGCTATTTTCAAAGACTAGAAAACATAAGACTCTTAAAATTAGACTAAAAGCAAGAAAGGAGGTAAAAGAGTGAAGAAGGCTTCACTCTTGCCTCTATATATATTACTTAACTAAGAACTATGTAGCGACATGCTATAGGACCTCTAATACATGTCCAACTTGTAAGATACATGTCTAATTTATAAGGCAAGTTTCTTAAGTTTACGCCATATGTCCAATTTTTACTACAAGTGGTCAATATGTCGACACATAGCTTCTTTGATGGCTAAGTTTTCAATCTATCAATTACCTATAGACATGTATAAAGACAAAGCAACATCTATGAAGCTTCTAAGAAGCTTTCTATAAGATATTATCATATTTATCTACTTTGACTTATTTCTACCTATTTTTATTATCTAGATAATTATCAAGATAATTATCAAGATAAATATGTATGTTCATAACACTAAAAGGATTTTATATTGAATCAAAGTACTTTTTGGATTGATACCAACCACTACCACTACTAGTTGTAGTTGATGACTAAAAGAACATGAAATGAATAATATTTTGGAGCATTGCTACTTTCACCGTGGTAGTCGACGTCCATAACTTCAATACAAAGTTTTTTGGAAAGATTATCCCATTTACAATGCAATGTGCGAACCTATACAAAACCTCATCCATTACTAAGAAACAATTTGAAGATACCGTGAAGAATAAAATAATGACGTTTTGTATTAATAGAGGGAGATTAACTGTAACATGATATAGATAAGATATTTGTATAAGAATAAATCTTCATCGGTATAACAAGATATAGATATTATAATTGTATAAATAGTTAGAACCATGGAAGTTTCTAGAATTTAAATTAGGTTAGTGGATTAAGTAGGATCCATCGTAGAAGATTCTAGAAAGAGTTTAAGACAATTATTTAATTAGAACCCACCATAAAACATTCTAAAAAAGGCTTAAGATGGTTATCTAGGTGGGATCTATCATAAAACCTTCTAAAAAAAGAATTTAAGATAATTATCTAGATAGAATCCACTACTATAGAACCTTCTAAAAAATCTTGAGTGATAGAATAAGACATAAATAGGATTGGCCAAGGCCTTTTGGAACATCTGGTTAAGTATGGCTTCAGATCTTTTTTCTTAGTAAAATTTGGTTTTGCATCTTTCTGTTTAGTTCTATTCTATTCTGTTTCTATTTACTCAATTTTGTCTTTCATGTCCTATTCTGTTTAATTCCATTCAGTTTTGTTTTGGTCTATTTTGTCATATTTTGTGATGAGGCTTTATGTTACTATGGTTTAAAAAGATCTTGGATTTTTGAGATAGTCTAGTCTTGTTTCATGCATTGTATATAAAGTAAAAGATAATCCTTCTTTTGTGGCATGCATAAAAGCTTTTGTATTTATCAATAAGAATTTGGATGTATTAGACTTATATATTTTTACTTGATTAATGGGATTTTGAATTAAAATTTTAAAAAAATTAAGGTTACAAGAAATCTTATCTATTTGATAATTATATTTTTTTTAATTAAGATAATATTCAAATAATCAGATTAGATGGAGATCTTATTATATTAAATATTACTATACTATTATGATCTTTAATTGCTACATCTAAAGGAATAGTCTCTTGCATAATATCTCGAGAAGATAGTAAATGACTATCTATAACTTCTACATGTACATGTTTAGTTTTTTTTTTTTTATTTATTTATTTATTTATGATATCTCTTATTTTTGGACAAAAACTTCATTTATAAAACAAACTAAGGCTTTTGAATCTAACAAAGCTTAGACTTTGTGATTTTTTAATCCTAAATAAACTTCTATTGTAAAATAAGGTGAAGAATCTAAGGAGATAATAGGACTTTATTAGAAATTATATAAGATTCCAATTGCATAGTCACTATAGTAGCTGGAGAAATTTATTTTTCAACACCTTGTCTTTTTTGGCAACCATGCTTTTTATTTTGTGATTACATTGTTTCTTTAGATAATATTGAGTAATGTATTTAGTTTTTTCTACAATATAAGCATAATCCTTCTTGGCATTTTTAAATATTTTCTTGCTTTGTGAAGAGTTTAAAACATACCATATCAATTTGCATTCGCTATAGCTTTGACAAATAAGTTTTTAAAAAATTGGAAATTATCGTCATTATTTAATTTCTTCCTCTCTAGCCAAATCTTTGTTCTTGATGTCTTTCAAATAATCGATTGTTCTATATAATGGCTTGAGTAATAAATTGATCTAAAGATTCTACCTTTGGCATTGTTAGTAACAAATCTTTGATATTATCCTTCAACCCATATTGAAATTGATTGATAAGGATTTTGTTATTTTAGTCTACATCGCAAGCTAAATTTTGAAATTTAGTAATATATATAGTAGTTGACTATGATACTTGTCGTAAAGATAAGAGCTTCATCTCTACTACTATTTTTTGATTACTTTCTTCAAATATGGCCGCAAATACTTCTAGAAATGATATCAAATCATAAAGAAGTTACAAATTCTTTTCTATTAAAGGTGCAAACTAAGAGAGAACACTTCATGATAGAAGTGTAGTTATAAATCCGACTTGAGACAATCTATCCGAGTATTAGAAAAGATGCTATCTTGTATAGAGCTTGACTTATTGTAAAAATCTTCAAAATTTTGTTCTTGTTCTATCAAACTTCATAGGCATATTAATCTTTGTCTCTATCATATTTATAGAAGCAAAACCCCTTGAATTTGGTTGTGAGGTCAATCTTTTTGCTTCCTTCAATTACACAACTTCTTGCCATAGATTTTGAACTTCTTTTATATGCATAGGCATAGTACCTCCATGATTCACATCAAAAATATGTGAAATTTCTACTTTTAGAGTATTAACAAGGTCATGAAGATTTGTAATAGTTGCAAATCTATTCTCACTTGTGCTGAGAGTAGCATCCATAATCTTTTCTTCCATATACAATTCAAACAAATTCAAAAAATTAAATTAGAGGAAGGTAATCCACAACCTCTAATACCAAATGAAAATTTTTACAAAGAGGAATAATCCACTCTCTTTGAAGAAAAGATAAATAATAAAAAATAAGATTTTTTTTTATTTTAAGGTGGGTAGTTTGCAACCTTCAAAATACAACAATAGAAGTGGGGTAATCTACTCACTTGTAAAATAAGATAGAAAGAGTAAGTTAGCACTCTTCTCAAACTCTTAAGAACATGAATCTCAAAAAAAAAAAAAATCATCAATACACTCTTGTGTTATTGAAAGGAACTAGAAAGTCACTCAAAGATGATATAATATTGAACTAGAATGGCTATTGCCAAAAACAAGAAGACTAAAAAATCTAAAAACAAGTCTAAAGACTACAAAGGTGTTGAAAAGAGTAAAGAAGGCTTCACTCTTGCCTCTGTGTATATTCTTAAATAGGAGCTATGTGGCAATGTTCTATAGGACGTTAAAATTATGTTGACTTTGCAAGACACATATCCTAACTTACAAGATAAGTTTTCTATATGTATGTCACTTAGTTAGCTTGTTCTGCAAGATACCAACACATAATTAACTTGTCAACCAAGTTTCTAACCTACAAATCAACTACAAATATATGTAAAGTTAAAGCAACATCTATGAAGCTTCTAAGAGGCTACTCTAGAAGGTATTATGAAATTAATTTATTTTTATCTACTTTTATCTACTTCTATTTAATCATATAAGTATTTATTATAGTACTTGTCCATATCCATAATAGTGAGAGGCATTAGACATGAATTGAGAAGAAAGATTCACAAGAAAGGTACATTGAGAAGATAAGTTTTTACAGATGTCAAATGATGAAAATAATTAACAATTACTAGTATTTTACTTCAAAAATAGTTGATTTAAGATTAAAATGGAAAAAATCAATATTCTACATACATATATATAGCATAAAAGTATAAAATCGAAAAACTTCTACCTATAATCAATCATTAGCTATCAACCTTATCCTACAAAATTCAGTACATAAAAATTGTACATGTCATGATAGAAAGTAATTTTTAATTAGACTAATCACACATTAATATATCATAAAGTAAATTGTTTTAAATTCTATGACAAACAATAATGCAAAATAAAAATGGACTAATGTGAACAGAAGTTATACAATTCTAAGTATACGTGTTGATGCACTACATTTACGCAATTACTATTCATTCTCAATAATGAATATAAACAATCTGTATTTAAGGTTAGAATTTTAATTTAATCTAATAACAAACGGACTAGTTAATCTATAGTTGAGATGAACATCAAAGGTTCATGTTTACCTTATAGATGTAAACAGAGGTGTAATTTACGAGTTAAAGATTGATATTTGTTCGTTCTTTCATTAAAAGGTTTACTAAAGAGTGTTGTAGTATGGAAGTTATGAAAGATATCACTTTCTAAGGGTGTCTTATTAGGTGGAAGATGGTTGCTACTAACTTTTCTCCATTGTGGAAGGTCAGATAGGGGCGCACACCGAATTTGAGATTTCAGAGGAAATATAAACCAACTCCTTTTGAATTGGGGGTATGTTACAAAGAATATACGTGGCAACTATCTCCAAACTTGGCTCTACTACGTATTTGTGCTATTACGATCAGCAAGATTAGGTACGGCCGTCAGGTTTGGGGTACTGCTCACATGCTCATGGAAAATTACGAGAAGTTCTTCGTCTTCGCAACCTCCTGCAAACTAATGCTACTAGCTTTCTCTTCGCAGGAAGCAATATCAAACCATTCGGAGAGATGGTCGCAACCTAAATATTTTCCTGCAGTGCCATGCGCACGCTTAGAACGGACGCTCAGAATCCACTGACAGGATAGGTGACAGAGGTTGTAACCCAATTCTGGTAGGTTTGATCAATTATGGCCGTTATAAACCCCACTGGGGTCAGCATTATTGACAATCCATGGATGCGAGAGTACTTTGTTGAGAGGCAACCGTTGGGCAGAGTCTTTCACCAAGAGCTGCACATACATCACATACGTTGAGATTAGGCGTGCCGCACTTGGTCAGGGAGATGGGGACGTGTTCGTCATGGAAACAGAGAAAATAGTCGTCCACAGGGTGACAAGCCGTGTGAGGGAAAACCACCTGGCAGATCAAATCTCGGGCTGATGTAGAAATGACAGGCTTGGAGGGGAACCTTAGATCAACGCGAACAATTCTGCAAAAATTGAGCACGTCGTATGATTAAAATCATTGTGACAGCAGATGAGCACATTAACGGCAAATGTCAGTGCATGTACTGAACTATACAAAAGCATCGTTTGGAACTTCAACCAGGTTCCAAGAGGTGATCGAAGTGTACCGCTTGTATGTATCTGAATGCTTCTTCGCCTCAAAAGGTGGGGTACCGTATAAGAACTCGAAGCAAAGGATCCCCAGGCTCCACACATCTACGCCGGCGTCGTGCTCCTTCCCCTCCACTGCAGTATGAGACTGAATGCTTAAAACCCTTAAAATTAAATAAGGAAAAAACAGAAAAACAAAGTACAGATGTTCAGTGTAAGGATGCTCTCGACAGCAGTCAGTGGCGAGGATCATACCCATTTCTGGAGGCAGATAGTCCAAGGTTCCACAGAGCGTCCTGCGTCTGTTGCAGGTGTGGACAGACCAGCCAAAGTCGGCAATTTTCAACTCACCCTGTTCCAAGTATGCAACTAAGTTAGGGCTCTGGGACTGCGACCCATTGCATAGTTACACGTACGCATTGGATGAGTGCATAGAAACGAGAAGGATGCATCGGTTACCTTCAGTCCTATCAATAGGTTCTCAGGCTTGATGTCGCGATGAATGACATGCTTCTCATGACAATACATCAATGCACGGGCAAGTGAGGCGACATACTGCACATGTAGAGAAAGCAGTGAGTCAGTTTTAGAATATAATCCCACTTGGGCAGTCGGTGATCCAATGCTCAATGTGACCAGAGAGCTGCTCTCAGGTGAATCAAGGTAGAATTTCGACTTCATGGACTATCTAAGAGTGAAGGTGGAGCTCAATCATACTGTTGCTGCTCTCTTCTCGCTGAAGACCTTGCACCTTTGAAGCTCCTTGTATAGCTCACCCTTGGCGGCGTACTCGAGAATCAAATACACTCGCGCCTGTGGTCGATAAGTGGAGAATTGCGTAAGTTTGAAGACTAACTACTGTCATTACGTTTGTTTATCCATTTTGATTGGATGGGAGAGCTGGAGGTGCTATTTACTTCCTGTAGCATGCTAGGCGGCTTCACAATCCGGAGCATCCAGGTAGGTCACTTTCGGATCGTCCATACCTGATCGTAGAAGTATCCGTAAAGGCGAAGGATGTTGGGATGGCGAAGGTGAGACTGAATTTCAATCTCTCGACGCAGTTGGTGCTCAACTTGGGATTGCTGGAGCTGATTCTTGAAGAGAACTTTCAATGCGACTACATACTTGCTCTGCAGTCACACACAAGTCTGATACATCAGTTTAGCACAACACCCTCGATCCTGACGCGAATGATTTTGAAGTACGGGTGACTACAGTATCCAGTCAGTTCTTGCAATTGCATGCTCATTCCAGGTTCCACGAGACACTGCTAGTACCCTTGCGCCAGGAGAATGCGACCTCTACTGACGCAATGTCATGCGAACGAAGTCACCAGGCTTTCGAGTTCACCTGTTTCTCGCGAGCCAGGTAAACGTTCCCAAACTTGCCCCTGCCAAGCGGTTTTCCAATGTCGAAGTCCGTCAAAGACCATCGCTTCTCACCCTTGTTCCCATTCTCCGCTCCTTGACTTTCCTGGCGCACAAGCTTGACATCGACAGCATAAGTCACGTAAGGCGGCAAGCCTAAGTATTCCCTTCACCACCTCCCCAAGCTATACCATATCGATCTGCCCCAGGTTTGGAAATCTCACCTTCGCATCAGCATCAGAGCCCATCTCGAAAGCCGTCCAAGGGTCCGGGATACAGCAATACAGCTACCAGTGCAAACCGGAGACGAGTTTCTTCAGCAGCAGCCGCTACAACAGATCACTGCTCTATCATCCTGCCTTGTGCATTACCACTCATCCCGCACACCCAACTCCTAAACCTTCGAATACCCTTCTACCCACCGTCCTCAATGGGGAGAAACTCGCAGTTAAATCACAGGCTACTAATGCGATCATCACCCTCCGAATCCGACTGCTTTTACCCTCGATTCCAGAGACTACAGCATTCGATCCGCGTCGCTCCACCCACCTCCCAAGTCACGCTTGACAGACACCAAAATTCCAGAAATTCCCCGAAACATGAGATGTGAATCGGAAGCTCCGTCAGGCGTCGCAGGCATTCTCCAGCAACTGAGATTCCTACAGGGCGGGAGAGGAGAACAGAGACAGAGAGAGGGAGAGCAGAGGAGACATGGCGCCGAAGAGAATGAGAGGAAAGGCTCTATAAACTTGGACAATGGCCTCGGATGTTGCGAGAAAGTTGAGACCATCGTCGAACGTTCAAAATTGCCGCTCTAACGGTCACGAGCGCCGCTTCCGTTCCGGCTTTCATCCGTGAACGGTCTTCTCGTCCGTCAGAACTGCCGCTTTCTGACGACGACGACGTCATCGTCCTTTGTCGACCAGGTTCTGCCGTTCGCTATTACTGGGGGGGGGGGGTCATATAATGCTACTGGGGTGGTTGGCTTGTTGTGGGGGGTAACGATGTGTACAATATTAAATTAGCACTGAATTTGAAATTCGAAAGGTTCACATAATTCAGGAGTTCTGACCAGAAGCTTTCTATCCCATCGATAGCTTAAAAATGACATTTTGAAAGATGGTTTGCATTCCGCCCTATTATAATTCCTAAAACTGGAATACTTGATGGCTTTAAAATATTTTTTTAATTATCTATTCATTTTAAATATTTCCATATTTTGGGTGAATTCTAATTGCAGCCAAACACTCCAGATGAATGCGTCTTCCTTTTCAGATCTGTTGGGTTGCCAAACCTCTAGCCATCTTACTGGCAAATTGTTGGAGAAGATGGAACAATTTCACAACTCTTTGCCACACACTAACAATTTGGGACCATATTTTGGAGCCACTAGACTTTTGGTGGCCGTTGATCATGATCTAGTTTGATTCAAGGCTCCATTTTCCTTCTATAGTGGGTTGGCACAATGCAAGTCTATGTTGAATTAGGATGAGGAGATTAGAATGGCTTGGCTCACATGCTTTGACCATCTATTTGCTCAAGAGACAATGCATGATAATTTTGGGGTCAGTGAGGCTGAATCTGCCAATTCTTTTCTTCAATGTACATGGTGATCAAGCCCTGTGGGTCCAAGTTTGGTATTCTCTACCAACGTAGAGATAATTTTGGAGCATGACTTTGATGTTTTTGATTGCTTTTCTAGATGTGACCCACACTCCCAAAAAATACCATGGTGTAGAGAGAAGTACTTGATCAATAATGAATTGGTGACTGGCAAGTGATAGCTTGGTTGAACTTTTAAATGTGAGCTTTTGTCTTACCTTTTTTAAAAAGAACTTGTTGATATCGAGCATGGTAATGGATTAGGCTAAATGGAGTGCTCAATGGTTTTGCAAGTTGTCCCTTTGGAATTCAAACCTAGTCAAACTTGCTTGTGCACATTGTGGAAGGTCCACGTTTATCCATCTATTAGGCTTTTGATTTTGTCCAATTGATAACCAAGCCTAAGACAGTGGTGAAAGTTTTGATTGTGTCAATAAGGTGATTTAGTTCCACTTTGTTGTCTCTCATTAAAAATGATGTATCATCTGCAAATTGCAAGATGAGCTACTGCAATGTGGATCTTGGAAGTTATACTCCTATGCCACTATTTTGGCTCTATTCTAAAGTAATCTTTTTATTGAGTGCTTCTCCGACTATTAGAAATAAGTATAGAGCAATGAGACAACCTTATTGGTTAGAGAAAGAAGTGGTAAAAGTCATCAATAAAATAATAGCTTATGAATGTTGATAGATTATACTATAATATAGATTATATTAAACTTAAAGATTTAAATCAAAGTTTAGAAATTCTAAAATTATTTTTAAAAATATATATATAAACATATTTATTAGATAAAATTTAAATTAAAAATTACTTAAGATTATTAATAAGATATTATATCATCTTAGTTATTAAACTGTAATTTAAATTATAATGAATCTTATAAACTATACTAAATTAAATATATTTATATGTAATAATAAGAAAAATAAATAAATATATTAATATAAAAATGATAATTTATAAAATTTAGATATAATAATTTTTTTAATCTAGAAATTTTTAACTAATTTATTTATTATTAATATTTTATTTTTAGTATTAAAAAGAAAATATATTAAAAAATACCTCTATTATTTGAATGAATTAAATAAAAAATAACAAATAAAAATATCAAGTCAATTATATCTTCTTTAAGAAATATCAAAGAAGCTTCTTTGAATTTGATTAGATTTTTGAACTCTTATAAATTTATCACATGGTTATGAAAGTTTGTCTTAAAAATTTCTTATTTTTGAAAAGCCATTAGAGGAGCATCTTTCAATTTGGAAATTTTAATTACAAGCCTTGTGGATGTTAAAAAGCTTCTACATGGGCCTCTTTATAGCTACTATATATAGAGATAAGATTTACATAATTTTTAGTCTTGTTCATACCTTTTTTATATTCTAATCTTACTTTAAGACTTTCTATTTTCTTTGTATTTTTCAATAGCCATTCTATTTCTTTCGTATCTAATATCTACATCTCTTCTTTGCTAATTTTCTCTCTTTTTAATGTTATATGAATGAATTGTCTTTTCATAATTTTATATTAGTTTATATCTTTCAAAATTTAATAAGACCAATATACACAATAGACAAATATGATAGAAATTGTATAATATTATATTCAAAATTAATATAATTTTTGTAAGTCTTTTTAAAGATAGTTTATTTATAAAAATATTATTATTAATAAATAATGCTATAACATAGATATAACAAAAAAATAAAATAATTGATGCTTGCTAAGCACAAATTTTATCTATAACATTAGTTAACGTCAATAGTAAGTAGTTAAGAATACTAAAAGATGACAAGAATTTCTTTCACAATTTTACCACCTCAAGTGATCCATATAAATACATTTTTACCAACTTCGAAAGTAATAGTAGCTTTCCTTATTAAGTTTGGTGATATTACATTGAAGTTTTAGAAATTCATCAACCAAATATAATTAGTTACTAAATTAAAATTTCATTGATATCTAATCCAAACATTCTATATTAGATTTTTAAGAAATTTATTTATTAGGTTTTTACTTTTTTAGTTTATTATTTTTAGATATTTTTGATGAATTTTCATCTATGTATAGAAAACATAATGTGATTCGTATGATAATTAATTAAATTTGAATCCTATAAAAAATATATGTATATATATATATGTATTTCTACAAATGCATCATAATTTTGATAAATTTTAATTAAAAAATCAGAAAATGTTGTACTTATTAATTGATATCTCATGAATTACAAAATAATGTAAAGAAATCATTTCTTGATTTGCATGAATATGATATATTATATAAAATAATTAATATTATTTTCAAGTTTAATAATTAATTTTTTAAGTTTCAATCAAAATGTTGTATGGTTGCTCTTTAATAAATATATATCTTTGTAACAAATACTTCTACCAATCACAATATACAATCAAATATAAAAGATATGCAAATTGATAGTATTAAATTTCAACTTTTTATAATACAAGAAAAATCTTAATATCAATAAAAAAAATTATTCATGTATTATAGAGAATAAAAATACTTTACTTAATACTATTCAAATAATAAGAAAAACCACAAAATAACAAGTACAATTATAAATAAAAATAATGTATTAGAAAACAATTTTTTTGACTTTATTAGAGATTGTATTACTAAATTCTTATATAATACCATTTAAAAAAATAGATTGATTTATCTTTTATATATATATATATATATATATATATATTCTTAATACATATTTGCTCAAGATCTAAAAATCCTATAGTTTCTTTCTCTACCTTATTAGATTGTAATGTTTTTTTTTCTTTTTTCATTTCTTGATGAATAAGTTATTAAGTTTATAAGAAATCGTTAGTACATTAATTTAAATTAGTGTACATAGAAATCATCGATAATTTTTTTTGTCTTTTTAAAATGTCATTCTTAAAACCCTACTAATTGAAGTAATTGTGAATAGTCATAAAAATTCTATTAGTATTTAATATTATAAATTATTGAACCAATTCTATTGTTTTAGATTAATTTTGGTTGGCAAATATATTTTCTTCAAATAGCTTAGAAATCTAAAAATATTAAATCTCTTCCTAATTTAGTGAAGAATGTCAAAACAAGAAGTATGTATTATGTCTAAAAAAAATCAAATCTTTATAAGTTAAAACAGTTTTTTTTAATAAAAGTTGCAAAACAATTAGATATGTTTCTCATCTATAAAATACCAAATTATTATTTAAGTAGAAGTTGTTGTGAAATCTTGGAACAACATAAAGGGTATTAAGATATATTTTAATATAAAAATAAAAATGTATTGTCAAAACATCAGCTTTGTAAATATACAAGTGACCTTTAAGAAAGAACTTAGCAAGTATTTGGACAAATTTACAAATTATTGTACACAAAATTGACCACCTTTAAGAAATGTATTAAAAAAAAATTATGACTTTATATTTGACACATATAAATCTCTTATAAGTATATTGATCTTTGTAAAGTAAAAAGAGTAAAAAAATAAAATTCCATGTAATTATGTGTGATTTTTTTTTTTAAATATAATTTCAAAATGTTAACCATTAGAATTATTATCTTTTGGTTTAAAACTTAAAATATTCTAATTATTTAAGTAAAACTAAGATACATTTAAAAAGAAAAAAATATAGAACAAATTTACAATCTAATACATATTTAAAAAAAGATAAATAAAAAATTACATTTCTAACTATGTATGGCTATTTTGAATACAATGTCATGCTTATTAGGGTTAAAAAAGTTTTAGTTGTTTTTCAATGTTTTAGAAATAATGGATTTTTTTTTTTTTTTTTTTTTTTTTTTTTTTTGGATTTCTAGATAGTTTTATTTTATTTTATTTTATTTTTTTATTATCATTTAAATGGCATTTTATCTATTCCAAAAATATGGAAGAATATAGACAACACATTTGCCTTGTATCAAAAATATTAATAACATAAGACTTAGTTGAATCCTACATATATTGCCATTTTGATAACTAATGTATCAATTAAAGTCATGCAATTAATAACAAATAAAACTTGGTTTGTTTGCCACGTTGGTGGCTAAAACTTTTACAACACTATCAAAAGTCCCAAAGAGGTTGAAAAACATTGCGATAAAGTCATAATCCAGTAGTTAAGCAGAGTCACAAAGGTGGCGCAATACAAAATTTGTGACAGTAGCGAGACGAATGTTAACACACCCTCAAATCTCGTTGTCACTCAGATCCGTTAATTTTTCCAAAACTGATCAAAAAAATTCGGTGCCCAACTATCATCATATCCTGTCTGATACGTACAGAGCCTAGTCCATTGCTCTCGGTAATCCTTAGGAAGATGTATTTGGAACAGAAACGTCCTTCAAACATTCCTCTACCACAGACTTCACTGCTGCAGTAGCCTTCTTCACATCGGGTTGATTGAAGAATGCAGAGACGACTGCTACTCCCTTCAGATTCTCTGGACGAGGGTAGGCCATGACTTCCGCAGCATTAGCTCCAGAAATCCCACCAATGGCGACCACTGGGATAGGACTGCCATAACAAACCTCGCGTAGCCCCTCGATCCCGATCGTTTTGTTGTCCTTCTTTGTATTTGTGGGATATACTCCACCTGAACCTACGTAATCAGCCCCGTCCTTCCAAGCCTTCTCTGCTTGCTCTGGAGTCTTGCATGAAACCCCGATAATTTTCCCGGGCCCCAAAATTGCACGGGCACGAGCAACAGGAAGGTCACTCTGCCCCAAGTGCACACCATCTGCATCACATGCGATTGCTATATCTATTCTGTCGTTGATCAAAAGTGGAATTCCATAATCCCGTGCCACTTTCAGTGATGTTTCAGCTTCCTGCATTATATTCGTCCAGTCAGCTTGCAGCTTACACGCAAGCTCATGTGCATGGTCACAGAAGTTTTACAAGAGATGTTCAAACCAGGAATTCAAGCATCAACTGCTTAACTACAAGCCAGTAATGACGAAAAGGACTTTTGGAAATCAGTACTTAAGTAAGAATGTACAGCCAGCATAATGGGATTTCACCCAGTAAAAGAAAAAACGAACGTACTTGAAGAAACTCGCCCGTATCAGCCTCTTTCTCTCTGCAAAAGAAAAACGGTACCTGAGCATAAATGCAAAGCGTTGCACCGATTTTGCGTAACGTAAGTGATAACTTTTTGGGGGAAAAAGGAACTACAAAAAGAAAATGAAGAAGATAGCTACAGACCTGATTTGAACGATTGTAGCACCACCTTCAATGGCCGCCCGAACAGCTTCTGATGTGGATCGACCCCATGTCTTGTTCATGGAAGAATCTGTGACTGCATAGAGTAGGAGTGACTCTGGCCGAAACTTGCTCTGCGTCGAAGACTTCTCCCAGTCTGACAGCTTAAACAGGTGGTTCACGGGGCCTTGCTTGCCTTCTCCAATCTTCAATGTTGCATTTTCTTCCAGTACATCCTTTAAGTAGCGCTTGGAAGCCTGCATGTTCAACAATGAAGTTTCCAGCAAACCTCGACGTGTGTCTCTCTCTGAATAGAATATGGTCGACAATGCTATGAAATTACAGTTCAACAGTCCAAAAAAGACGTGAACAGATTATTGTAGTATAAGCATCGTGTTCACAGGAAAACAACTACAGGAGTCTGCTAATTAGCTGCTTTGAAGAGGTGCATCAAGGCGGGGGTCCATCTTCATGACATGCCTAAAAACCTCACTTTCATGTTCCTTCACAAATGAAACACAAAACATACCAGGACAGCAGGGAGCATAGATTGGCCTTTGGCAAGCTCGGCAGCTATTGAAGATGCCAGAGTGCATCCCGTGCCATGCGTGTTGCGCGTTTCTATCCGAGATCCCGGCAGCTCATGCCACTCAACTCCTGTATTAATTGGCATATTCATGAATCATGGTTGCAAGACTACAAAGCCTGACACCTAAAAAAGCGATGCACCTCAACAACATTTTATCGTGTACAAAAGAAAGCATTCACGTGCTGGAAGGCTTAGATTAACACAGAGTAGGACGAAGGTAGTACCATCGTAAAGAACGTCGATTAAGGTGTTGGTGCCAGGTAAGTGCCCACCTTTAACAAGGACGTACCTGAAAGATCAAGCAGAAACAGGAATATATTATCCAACAAAGTTTGAGATTCTCAAAACCACGTTCAGCATGCAAATAACTTTAGTTCAATTTTTCGGAAACTAGATCTTGATTTGTGCGACTGAACAGAGGAGAAAAACCCACCGTGGACCAAGTTGGTGAATAGCTTCAGCTGCTTCACGCATTTCAGCGACAGTAGTTACAGGATCACCTCCAATTATTGCGGAAGCCTCTGGCAAGTTGGGTGTCACCAGATCCGCCAAAGGGAACAAATCATCTCTGCACGTGAGGTGTTAGTAAATTTAATGTCAATCATGTTGACATATGTCATTAAATTTGAGCAGCGTAATTTGTCATACACATTAACTAAACCTTTACATTCTAATCATAGAGCTTGCGAGCTGAATATGACAACCATGCCAGTACAACGTCAGCATCCCTCCTCAAACTCATTCCTACTCTCATTTGTTTCTCGAGAATAATAGGCTAGCCTGAGCATGGCAATGAACAAGTTCGACATACCGAAGGGCATCAAGTATCGCAGGACCAGCGAGCTCATCACCACTTGTCGAGATTAAAACAGGATCCACGACAAGGCCTAATCTCCAACCATAGCCATCATCCTTATTAGAAAGGCTTGATTGTGTTTATGGGTTAGAGTTTCTCAACATTGAACACGATGGGAAAAATTAACAAGCACCCCTCTACTACTAAACACATGCAGTAGGAGGACTCATTAGAGACATCGTGCAAATGAAGCAATTCGGAAAAATTGCAGTGGGTTTCAGTAACGAGTACCTTTTACAGGGTATGTTCGCAAAATATCACACAGACTGCGGATTATCTCAACGGAAGGCAACATGCCGGTCTTCACCTGCATTCAAACATATTGTTTCTTTCAGACTCATTGTGCAAGGTCAGGTTTAATGCGTAACATCGGTAGTACCAAAACCACAAACCCCCATGTTTTTTACTCTAAGAAAATTTCTACACAGAATCAACTCAGGAACAGAACATCATAATCTCGAGACAAGCTCCGCAAGCACACAACCTACTGAAGCATTCGTGTAACTTACCACATCAGCACCGATGTCCAGCAGTACAGATTTCACTTGAGAAGCCACAAAATCTGCTGGCACCTCGTGGATCCCCTGCATTCCACAGAGCATCACATTTTAACATGATATCCTGTTGACAATTGAATGCCCAATTTTCTCTGTTTGCAAAGGATTTTTCAGACTCTACGTAAAAACCGATTAGTGTCTGACTCTCTTCACGCGAAGCGCGTGAGATAAATGAAAACAAGGCGGCACTTGCGAGGCTTTTCATTTTTTGAGAGTAATCTATACGGTAGTCAACATGTTATGAAAAATTCAATCAACTGTAATGTAAGTCAGAATCGCACAATCGTACCTGTACTCCAACGGTATTTTGCGCAGTAACGGCAGTAATCGCTGTGGTACAGTAAACCCCAAGCGCTCCACAAGCTTTCATGTCGGCTTGAATCCCAGCTCCTGCTCCAGAATCCGAGCCTGCCACAGTGAGTACCCTAGGGATTCGTCGACTTTCCTCTGTCCCCATATCTGCTCGAATTACGTCCCTCGGTAGACACTTTCTTGTAGGCAAATATTCGGAAGTAGACACCGTAAGGCTAGGAAAATTGCGAAGTCGTGTAGGCGTGATACCGTATAAGTTTCTACTTCCCAACCCACAAACCGTGCACGCTGACTTTGCTAATGGCTTGTCATGCGTCGTGGATAGCTGCACAAATCGAAACACGCATGCTAAGCCAACACCAGGAACAAATGCTAGAAATACAAACACACTGTCATAGAAGTCCTCGAAGCAGTGGCAAAACAGAATTCTTCCGCGACCAACAGGCAACTGAGAAAATGTAAATGCCACACATTGAAATTCAATTTTCGAACAGATATTCGCCAACATTGCGATTCCGCTTGTTACAAGCCACAGCATTCCAGAGTTACGCCAAAAGCCTACCGGGAGGCGAGTCGAGACTTCTTGCAGCAACTGAACAGCCATTGTCGAGCACAAACCGTAAGGTTTTTTTATTACCCCCACAAAAATCTACAAGTGGACTCAGGTCACCAATAAAAGCAGCACAGCAGCATTACCTGCTGCATCTCTAAGTGCTCCTCCGACTTTTTTCGCAGCAATTATCGAAGAAATTGCTGCAGCACAAATTGCTATGAAGAAAACATCGTCTTCATGTGTCCTTTACACACGGCGAAATTGTTGCAACTTCGGTTCTCTTGCAACTTCGCTACAAAAATGTTATGTGGAATCATTTTGCATCGAGAAGAGACAAAAGGCCTATTATTCGCATCACTGCGGGTTGATTAATTTTCGAAAAAAATCGAAAGAGATGAATGTATCTCCACTTTGTATGGGCCCTACCATGTCGCAATTCAACTGCTCCAATGTTTTTCTGTAAATGAATTCAGTGTCGGAATGGATGAAACGAGAGTTGGGCTTGACTTGATACATGAGTCCTCACCTCTTCGGGTTTGACAGGATTTGTTGTTTCTGTCCTCGTGATCATCTATTCTCTGTTGAGGGTTGAATCCTCTTTAAATATGAATATTGGCTGTCAAGCTTGAGTTTACCTCAAAAAGGAAATTAAGTGTTTTAGCATGACTTTGATTGATTTCCATTTGGATGCGGAACTCATGTTTTCGGTGAAGTGGGAAATCCTTCTTGAACAACTTAAGGTTTTTAAAGCGACAAAGACAATTCTATCTACGAGAGACGGGACTCAATTTTTTGATTAGGGTGTCTTGTTTGTCGTAAGGAGATGGAGATGGAGGATCGGATGGGACATGCAATTGTGCAAGCCTGTAAGGCAATGAAGCGACGCTACAAATTGGAGGAGGGAGCTTATGTGCTAGCTGTTGATGTCATATCTCATGCAGAAAATTCGCAGGCTACACTGGAATTGGAAGAGAAAGTGAAGAGCTTGCAGTTTGAATTGAATCAAAACTACCAGAAGCATTCACAAGTGTCGGAGAAGGTAGTAGAGGTAGTTTTAGAGAGCCAGTCGTTACGTTTGCAGCTTAGGGACAAGGAAACTGCAATCAGGCAAGTGCACGAGGAGCTAAGGGCTGCGAAGGAGAATCCTTTGCTGGTGGAATTGATTGCAAATGAAATGCATGGATCCCTAGAAACTTCGACTGCAGAGGCTAAAGAGCTCCGATTGTTTGTTAAGGAACTCGAAGGTCAAACCAAAGAGTTGATGAAAGAGAATAATATGTTGATAGATCGATGAATTGCGCAGAAACTGCAAGATGCGGAACGGCTTAACGACGCCAACGCTGCGTATGAGGATATGTCGGAGAAGATAAAATCTGGGCAGCTAATGGAGTTGGCTCGCTCCAAAGTTGATGGCATAGTTAGACATAGTGAAGCGGGCGCAGAAGATTTTGTCGAATCTGAACTGCCTTCTGTGTCGGAGGTTGTCATCAGAGCACATGATGGCGTGTGTTCAGCAATCCAGTTCGAGCAAGGAGGAAATACCTTCTTCAGTGGAGGACATGATAAGCTTGTCAAGAGTTGGAATGTGGCCACTGGGTCCTATATTTCCACACTGAGGGGCTGCTTGGGTTCCATATTGGACTTGTCCCTATCTCATCACAATGGATTTGTTATTGCAGCATGTAGTGATCATAAATTGCACTTGTGGGAGAGCCAGACAGGGCAGATGCGACATACCTTGACAGGACACTCTGAGAAGGTAGTTTCTGTCGATGTTAGTAAAACAAGCAACCGACGCGTCGTGAGCGCTGCCTATGATCGGACAATGAAGACATGGGACATGCAAACGGGATATGCCACCAACACTTTGATATGCTATTCCTACGGCAATGCCGTCGCTCTAACCATGAGCGGGGAGATTCTTTGCTCGGGCCACATGGATGGGAACCTACGTTTGTGGGATATCAGCTCTGGGAAGCAGTCAAGCCAGGTTTTTTCCCACAATTACGGCATTACGTCGGTGTCGATATCCAGAGAGGGCTACACAGTTCTAACCAGCGGTCGGGACAATGTGCACAACACGATCGACGTTCGCACCTTAGAAGTTCATGCATCGTTCCGAGCTCCAGGCCATTTCGTTGCAACGAATTGGAGCAGATCATGTCTGAGTCCCGACGAGAAGTATGTTGCTGCAGGTGGGGCTGATGGATCTGTGGCTATATGAAATCAGTTTGCAAAAGACAGTCCTGTGACTCTGAAGGGGCATTTCAGTCCTGTATTGGCCTGCACATGGAGCGGTGAAGGTAGGGCACTGGTTACTGCAGACAAGAGCGGGTGCATCATTATGTGGGAGTAGCTTATCCATCTCCTTCAATTGCAGACACGATCAACTACGTAGGCGCCATCGAAGGAACCATGACAAGCATTTCGTCCCTGTTTAGGGAAATCAAGTTGAAGCTTATGGGTATTTACCAGCAAACCGAGGACATATCATGAAATGAGCTTCTTCTTACTCTTGGTTCAGTGGAACTAGGCAACAATTATTATGACATTCCGCAAAATAGTAACAACAGTAGTTATGTAAGAATCGTGTTTATAAATCTAATCTAGGTGAAGACGATTCTTACATATGGTCCTTCATATTTGTACAATAAGATGTCACAGTGTGATTTTGATCTCTTCCTCTCGTTTTTCAGATTCCTTGTAATTTAGATACTTTGCTGTTTATTTAAAGTATGTAAACTATGTGGGTGCTGTGAAAGTGAGCGAAGGGTTGTTCTTCAGCCTCTGCAGCTTTTTATCATATGATTGATGTTCTGTGGAATGTAAATGAACCAGGAAAGGATGGACAAGACCAAGAGAATCCTATTTCTTAATCAAGATCTCTCTTGAATCAAAATTCTTACTTCAAAACTATATTATTTTTGTTATACATCTTGTGTCGGTATTTGATTCATTGCTTCTTTAACAAGACTTGGCCAGTTCTTCTCTATGTAATCAAAACAAATTTAAATACAAGTTTTAGTTTGTTTTTTGTATTCTTTGCTGCCTATTTTGTTTACTCAGCTTGGTTTATATGAAAGGATTTGAGAAAAAACCACACTATTTTTTTTTTTATTATTCTTGCATGTCCATATCGTATGTTGTATCATAAATTGCTTCTAACCACTTTATAATAATTTTTGTGGTTGTTGTCTAGCTTATACATTTTGGTTGAAATTGATATATTTCTATAATTATTAGAGGGGCAAGAAATGAAGATGCAAAAAAAAGAGATAAATTATATAATGGTATGCTATTTTGCATCTTTTGCTAGTACAACTTTTCATAAGTTTTTTTAAAAGCATAAATTTGAAGAATTTGTTATAAGATTTATAATCTCATATAAAAAAAAGACTTGTGTTGTTGTGGTTATTCTTCTAAATCTTTAATACTCTTATATAATTCTTCTTTTTTAAGTTTTTTTATATTTAATATTCACCAAGATCATAGAAAATATTAGAATATGGAACCATTATAGTGAAAAATGAAGAATAAAGTGCTCTAAAGGTATTTTAGATGTCAACATTAGTGCAATTGTGGCATCATAAGCATGTACTCATCAATAAACTAGACAAATGCTTCATAAGTTATACAATCTAAAAAGCTTACCATACTTAAATATTAGAAAATTTAATTTTTTATTAAAGAAAAAAGACGTAAGGAATAGAGACCAATGTGCAAATTTATGCAAGAATATTATACATGTTACAAAGATTTTTGGCAATATTTGATAATGATACAATGAAGTTTAGGCTTTTATTAAATAAGTTATTTTTATGCTAAATAAATCTTATTTACTAGTAGAAAATTATAAAAAACTAAATTAGTAGGATAAAGTTATCTTCCAATTAAACAGCAAAGAAACATTTAAAGAATTACTTTGGAATTTGAAATATTATGATGTAACAAGTAAAATGTTTGTAAAGCATTATTTTGATGTTATAACATTTGATAAGATAAATAGTGACATTGAATTTTTATATAATAGGTTGCTCCATGCAACTTAAAAAGAAAATTTTGAATATAATGGATTAGCAAGCATCTATAATAAAAGTTGGAAGAATTGCATTGCATTGAAGTTGGAGATTTGGATGCTTTGAAATTATTATCAAATATAATAAGTCTTAAAAATTTAGAATCTAATAAGAAAGTATGTGGATCTTATAGAAAAGTTTACAAATCAAAGTGATAGAGATTTTTATATATAATCAAGAAGATGGACACTGGACATGATATATATATATATATTTGAAAACTAAGCATTCTAGCTAATTTGTGCTATCTTAACTTGATATCATATTATTTTGTAAAGAAAGATAATGCAAAAAAAAGAAGTGAATATTTTTAAATGATAATTAAAAAATAATATTCATAAATGAGAATAGAATTGATGAAAATAAATTTAAATGATATATTAGAAAAGAAAGTTTAAGTATCTTATATTTTTATTAATAACATTAAGCATCAATTTGCAAAAAGAATGTATTAATTGCATGACATGTACATTGCATATTGTGATCTAAAGCTTCAAAATATTTTAATTAATATTATAGGAAAAAAAATCACAAATAAGATTATTTGGCATACTATTGTGAGATTTTATTATTTTAGAATATTCAAGATTAAAGTTGAAAAAACATTAACAATATAGAAAATAAGATTCTTTATGGTACTTTTACATATGTGGTTCCTAAAGTATTAAAAACCAAATTTCATACAATAATAATATATCTTTTTAGAGAATATATTTATCTATTTGCAATGGTATGTTTTAAAGTTTTATCAAAAAACAATCCATTTGAAGATGTTTTTACAATAAAGGATATATTAAAAAAAAACTTAAAAAAGATAAAAAAAAACTATTTATACCTTCAAAAATTAATAAATTGATTGAGCTAAATAAAAATTGTTTGAAAATAAAATCATTAACTACAACCAAAATTTGTAAATATTTAGAAAAGATTGAACTTATTAAAATATAAAATTTTAGCTATAAATAATATAAAAAATTCACTATATTTTAGAATATCAAAATAAAATAATCATTAAAATATAGAATTCCAAAAAACATCTAATAGATTACCATTAGCAAGATTTATACTAAAAACTAAAGAAAGTATGTATTAAATTAATTAGATTAATTACATTTTATTTTTTTATATATTCTTCTATGCTATGGTGATGGTTAGATGGCTTATGATATATTTTTATTTATAAGAACTTAGATTTAGATTATAGAATTTTAAAAATTCTAATAGATAGGTAGATCAGTC